ACATATTTTATCATATTTTGTTATATTTTATCATATTTTAATATATTTTATCTATTTTATTCTAATTTTGGTTTTATTTTCGGTTTTCGGTTTTTAAGAGACTCAACCGAAACCAAACCGAAATATATTCGGTTAATACCAAAACCAAAAAAATAAAACCGAAAACCGTTGAAACCGAACCGAATTCATTTTTTCGGTTCGGTTTTCGGGTAAAGAATCGGTTCGGTTGAAAAATGCCCAGCCCTAGCAGGGGCATCAAATTCTGGTCAACCTTTTCTTTTTGACCCTTTTTTTCTTGGATGTTGTTCATTTGTTTTGGACATCTTATGTCATCGTCTGCGTCAATCAGACGATCTTATTCTGCAAAAAAAGAAGAAAAAAAAAAAGGAAGATGAGGAAGAAGAGGAACTTACTGGTTACTGCATCAATCAAAAGAACTTATTCTGCAATTCTTCTATTTGAATAAGAAAATTCTCTCTCTTCTTTCCCCTTTTCTCTCCCTTCTCTCTTGCTTCTGCCTCCCTTCTCCGGCATTGCGTTTGTTTTGATCAGAAGCCTTTGAGCTTTTGAGGTTTTGATGCTTGAGCCGCTGGGCTCCCCGGCCGCTCAAGCATGCTGGAGCCAGTTTGTGCTCTCTCCTCTGATGACCCTTCGAGGTCTGTCCGTTTCTGGGTCCCTTTCCGGTGACCCATTTTGGTTTTTTGTTTTTTGGTTGTTTTGTTTCGTTTTATGTTCTTGTACAGTTTGTTTTTTTCAGATCCAGCGACCCTCGGCTCTTTCCTGTTGATCTTGGTAGGGGCTCATTGGTTTTTTTTTTTTTTTTTTTGTTCAGTTTGGTGCAGATCCGGCGACCTTCTTTCTTCTCTGGCGGATCTGAAGCAGCGCGCGCGAGGGCTACCAGATCTGACGCCCACCGTGGCTCTCCTGTTGGTTCCGAGGGACTTCCACCGCCAGATCGGGTGACCGCTCGGCATCCTGGAGCCTGGTGCTATTTCCTTATGGGTAGATAGAAGGGTGTCCTATATGGATCGGTCGACCGAAGGCCGTGATATTTCCGGGATCGTTCGTGGTTGTTCAAGTGCTGAGTGCACCTCTCTTCGGTCTCTGGATATGGGTCTACTCTGATCTTTTGTTTCAGGTGTTTTTACTATTTGTTATCTTTGTAGATGCCGTATGGCGGTATTTGTAATAAATCCATTCCATTATCCTCAAAAAAAAAAAAAAGAACTTATTCTGCATAAAATAAAATAAAAAAATAAAAAGAAGAACTTAGGCCTAACATAACTCAATATTGACAAGCAGCAATGCCGATATGTCCCATGTTTACAGGTACAATTAGTTTTACAACAAATGGTATTATGTAATTCAGGTATATTGAATGGTAAAATATTAATTATTAAAATAAATTTTTTTTAATATTAAAAGCCTTTTAATACAATAATTAGTGTCAAGATTGCAAAACACCACTCTTTTTAC